CGAGAAGACCAGGTCACAGTCTTCCAGGGGGACACAACCCAATGCAGAACATGGGTAAGGGGTGTCTGCAGGCACTGGCTCTGGAATCCCTTAATCCCACTGTGAGCAAAAACAGTGACTCATGGAGCGCCCGTGCTGGATTCCACTGAGGCAGAGTCCCTGTCCTTCCTGGACTTTGTCTAGAAATCCAAAAATAGGTCCTAAGGCTCAAAGAGAGATGGACGTGACGGACACCTGATCCAAAGTTAGGTGGTCTAGACTATGCAGTTGTTAAGTGAGAAGAGCAGAGACTCGGAGAATGACTCCAAAAGAAGCCCAGCCGAGGACCCGTCCTGCCGTTCTTGCAAGTCCTGGATGCTGGGGTGGAGGGCAGTAGAGGAGGCTAACCCCCGGCTACTCCTTTCTAATGGGACTCCAGGTTAAAGCAAGAGCGCGCCACGTGTTATTGGGTTTACACTTGGAATAAGCCGCACACTCACGCCCATTTCAGAGGTAAACAGAGTGGGACTCAAAGAGCAGGTGCCCCTTGTCCTGGGCTCCGAGGATCCAGGTCAGGTCTGCAGGACTCCAGGATCCAGAAAGAGCTTGACATATTTGAAGGACTGAAAATAGTCCAGGGTGGCTGGAGTAGAGGGTGTGAGGGCCAGAAAATGAGGGATTCGCAGGTCGTGGAGCAAAGCGTGGAATTTAATAATGGGGCCCTGGGGACCAGCCAACGGGTTTCAGAGCAGAAGAGTGACAGGGCCCAGAACAGACCAGGAAGGAGTAACGGTGGCCCGGGGACCAGGGGAGGCTGGGGTGGATGGGGACACAGGGTGCTCACAGTCCTTGGACACCGGGGTCCCAGTCACAGGGCTTGGCAATGGATTGAAATTGAGACCTGAGGTCAAAGAAGAGGTCAGGGATGATGGCAGGTAAGTGACTTCAACAGCTGATCAGACAGTGATGACATCTGAAGTGACTGAAGGAGATGCCCCTGAGGGGAAGGGCCCTGAGTGCTTTCACACTAGAAGAGCCGGGAAGTGAGTTCTTCCGGAGTCTGCTCGGCCCCACACCCGGCACTAAGGTGTGGGAGCCACCTGCCCTCCAGCAGAGACCTCACTCTTGGCCGATCCCACTCTTCCCTTGGGTGAGCTCCTTCCCAGGAGCATCCTGTGCTTCAGCCGGGGGCTGCCTGGGCTTGTCTGTAGCCCAAGTGACACCCAGTGTCAATTCCTCTGTCTCCGTGAAGTCCTTTGGTCCTTTGCCTTTTGCAAGGTCAAAGAGAACCCCTGAAAGTCTAAAGTGGCCCATAAGCCACCAAAATAACTGCTCAGACCTCCCGGGCCTCGGGCAGCAGCATGAAGACCGGCTGCCTGTCTCCTTGCTCAGAGCATGACCTGAATTGTTCCCTGACTCGCTGTCATTGGAGACCACAGAGGACAGTACAGTGCCCACACCAGTGGCCTCTGGAGGCTGATGACCTCTGCCACATCATAGCTGTGTGATCCTGCTGACAGACGTACAGCAAGTAGCACAAGACGTGCCTGGTGCGTAGTAGGCCTGCAAGAGCAGACAGTGGTAGTGATTTGCAGACATAGGGAAAGGAGAAGAGAATTTTGCATAAAGTGTCCTTAGACATCTTCCTGCTATGCTGTAGGTTGGGTAAACTGAGGCCTGGAGCAACAGACAGACTCATCCAAGGCCCCATAGTAGAGCTCCAGGACTCCCGCCAGTTCCCTCTCCAGAGCGCCTCTGAGAGCTGGGGAAACTCCAAGGCAGCCAGACCTGCCTGCACATTGAGTTTGCAGTTGATTGCAGGGTTGGTGGGGAGTGGAGGGTGCAGTTTTGTTTGCTTGCACAGAACGGACTGCATGGGGATCGGAGTTAGTTGCTAGAATTTACAAATCAGGTTTCCTTTCCTACTAGGCAGCAGTTCTCCATCATGCAGGAGCTACTGTGCAGGGAGCATGTGGTCCTCCTCCCTCATTTATGTGATCTGCCCTGTCCTGCTGGATGTGTTTGTGATTCTGGCCTGAGAGTGTTTCCCTTTCAAAATAAAGATGTTTTAGGAGAGCAAGATATATGCGTGTTGCAACCCATCTCTGCACATTACCTGTAGTTGTGTAACCCTGAGTCATGGCTCTCAAAATTCTCTTGGCAAACCCGTTCCCTCTGAATCGTCCTCCCCACAAGCAGTTAGAAGTAGAAACCCTGCCCACGACTGCAGTGGTGCCCTTTCTCTCCACCCCTACCCCCTTCCTGGATCTTGCCAAGGGCGAAGGACCTCACTCTCCTACACTCTAGTCCTCGTGTGCCCAGCTCCAGGCCCGGCCAGCAGCTCCCTGAGGAAGGCTAGCTCTGTGCTCCCCTTCCTGCAGCTCTGCACATCTGTGCTTCCTTTCTGCATCTTGTGGGCAAAGTGGTCGAGGACGCACAGCACTGCCCAGTGTGCCCTCCGAGGAGGGGGTGGGTCAGAGTTCATGAGCTTCTTGAGGCAGAGAAAACAACCCTCAGCTCCTCGGCCCATGACTGGCTAGTTAGTGGGACAGCCGCTCTCCACTGGCCTCCTTTCCACTTTCAGAGTTCAACAGGGAGGACCCGGGCATGGAGGACACTCCTCCCTGGTCTCCTCTCCTCCTGCCTCCGTTCAGACCTGACTGCTCACAGACTGCCATGGCCTTCCAACCAGCCTTCCTGCGGCCAAACCTCCCTCCGGCCCCGTCCCACCTCCTCAAGCTCCACCAGCCCACTCCCCAGCACACATGCCCCAGGGACGGCTCCCGTCGCCTTCAGAGTGCAGCCTAAGCCTTGGGCGAAGCTGGCAGGCCACCCACCTTCCCACTCGCCCTCTCGCTTCTCCTGGGCAGTGGGCTGAGGTCAGGAAGCCACGAGCCCCTCGCCTGGGTTTCCACTTGGTTTCCATTGGTCTCTCTGCCAGGGAAATGTCCCTTGCCAGGTCAGGGTGCAGGGGACCGTTCCCACGCTCCTCCGTAGGTGACAAACACCTCCTCCCTGATGCGCCATCTCCAACCCACATTGAGGTGCATAAGTCGTCCTGTTTCCCCTCTGCTGGTCCCCTGTGTGGCCTGCCTGGTCACACTGAAGATCCGTCTCCCCCAGCTCTGGGGTTCTCCACCATTGACTCTCAGGCTCATTTCCTGGTCCACATCTGGGTCCAGGCCTGGCCTGAGAGTGGCCTGGTGAAAGATGGAGGAGTTGGAATGACGCAGTGCTGCCTTGTAGCCAGGACATGCAGAGGTGGTCCCTGCTGCAAGAGGCGGTCCTGGGCTTGTGACGAAGTATCTCCCGCTTCATGGAAATGAGAACCGCTGCTCAAGGAGAGGACGGCAGGCCTCTTCCACCTCCCCAGCCACACAGCCCTTCCTCCTTTCCATTCCTCTCATAGGAACGGGTCCCTCCATCCTGCATCTGGGACCCTGGTCCACAAAGCGTCCTGAGCCACCATGGATGACTTCCGTGTCTAGATAGACCTTGTGACTCCAGATGGACAGTAAGCTGTTTAAGGGTAACATCCACCAACCCACCTGTCCACTCATCCACTTATCCACCTATCTGTCCACCCACCCACCTGTCCATCTGTCTAGCTGTCCATCTGTCTACCCATCTTTCCACCCACCCACACATCCATCCCTCCACCCACCTGTCCTCTGTTTAAACAGTTTTCAAGATCAAGTGTCCACACTGTACCTCACCCCTGTGGGTACTGGGGAGAATGAAGAGAAAACTGCCCAAGACCCTGGCCTCAGTGCCACTCAATGCCCAGCCGGCAGAGGACATGCGTAAGCTGACAACTGCAAAGAAATGGAAAGTGTCCGCGGTGACCGGGCATTGAGGGAGGAATCAGTGACTCGTGAGAGCTCGTAAGAGGGAGATGGGCTGTTGTGAGGGCAGGATGCGCCCAGCGCGGCCGTGGCCTTGGGCACTGGGGAGTGTGGCAAGGCCTTGCCTGGGGCCTGCTCCTCACGCACAGCCAGGTCAGGCAGGGGCCTGTGTTCAGGCAGCACCGTGCCCCCGCCTGGCGTCCCAAATGTTCCTGGTTCACCCACTCACACAGAGACGCGCAGGATACGTACGCCTTCTCCTGTGACGTCATCTTCTCTTAGGTAATGCTGAATGTGCATTTTTTTTGCCATCTATGTCTTGCTGTATATAACACCCAGACTCACACACGCAGCACACGGTAAGGAACTCCGTGGTTAGTTCAGGTCCCCTGAAGCACCAGGGGACTCCACAGTTGCATGACCTCCACGTTCCGTCATGATGTTGTGACTCACTGGGGAACACGTGGCTCTGGATCGGGTGCTGCTACACGACCTCTCCACTGCCTGGAACCTCCTCCCCAGGCAGGTCCTACTGCCCGTGTCACACGTAGAGACTGAGGCTCAGAGATGTGGTATCCCTTGCCCAGCGTCACACAGTCACAAGGAGAGGGACCATCGCTGAGCCCACGTCTACGACCCTTTCCAGCACCCAGGGCTCAGATGACCTGAGGTCCTCAACAGCTGGCTGAGTTAGGAGCTGTCTGGGGCTGCCCAAGAGTTCCCCTCTATTGAAAGGAAGCTATTCAGGGAACAGAGACCATGGCCTTGGCTGTACTGAGCAGCTGGGCTCTGGGGACCTGATGGAGCTGCCCAGTCATCAACAGCTCCTGAACAATAGATCTGGTGACCTCCAGGGGTCAGGGTCCCTGCCTGAGGAGGAGAACAGGCCTGTGACCCCCTTCCCCATGGACCACCCAGGAAGGGTGAGAAGGGCCTCTGAGCTCAGAAGGACAATCTCAGAGAACCCTGGGAATTTGTCTGGGGCTTTGGAAAGGTCAATTTTCCATTAGTGTGTGACCAGCTTGGACTGTGTGTGACATTGGCTAGTCACTATTCTGTGTACCTTTTCACAGTCTTCATAGTTGCCCTTCAAGAACAGCATTATTAAAAATCTCCATTGAGCAGAAGAAAGGGAGGCTCAGAGAGGCACAGTCTTCCCCAAGGTCACACAGCTTCTAATAGCAGAATTCTCCTTTATTCGGTTTAACATCTGCTCGCTCATTTACCCATAACCATAGATGGCAGGTCCACTTCGTGGCAGGCACTGTTGTAGGCCTTTGGAACACATAGTAATCAAAACAGACAACATCCTGCTCCCGTGCGGCTGCCACTTGGTGTCACCGTGCTAGGGCCTCTGCAGTCATTACCCAACAAGAAGAAATACAAGGCCCAATTCCTGCCTTGGACCTTGTAGCTGAGCACAGGAGACACACAGGACATTTCTATATACATTTTTATAGAGCACTATAGAGTTCAGGGTGCTTTGCCAGGGGTCGGCAGAGGGGCTGTGGGTACACAGGATGGGCATGGGGGGGGGGCTTCCTGGGGGGTGTGTCACCTGAAGTGAGCCCTGAAGGGTCCATCAGGGACAGGAAAGTCATCCAGAGAGAAGTCACAGCAGGGGGTGGAGCCCAAACCTGGCTGCCAGGAGGTGTCCTGTCCCCAGGCACAGCCTGAGCAAGGGAGATGAAGAGGAGGTGCCTCGGACTCAGAGAGAGCGAGGCGCAGACACAGGTCCCCCATGGCCCCAGGCCTCAGAAGGCAGGAAGTCAGTTTATTTTTATTTTATTTGTAATCGTTCTTTTTAGACAGTAAGTGAGTCTGGACATACTACACCCACATGGACTTCAACTTACCTTATTGAGGACTCCATTCCTGCAGTTGTGCGTGGAGTTTGGCGGGTGAGTCTTCATGTCCCACCTAAGACTACCATGAAATAAGGAGGCAGGAAGCCTTGGCTAGTAAAGTGACCTAATGCCAGGTTGATTACTAAGATCCCTAGAGGCCAAGTAGAGGCCGAAATGGAGGGGGTAGGAGGACAGGAGCGAAGGCTCCTGCGGGCTGTCTCCAGCGATGACAGTGCTGGGCGGGGCCTGGGCGGGGCCACCTCACAGTGCAGTGATGGAGGGGGCCTGGGCGGGGCCTGGGCGGGGCCCTGCACGAGGTGGGGGGGCGGGGCCAGCTGTGCGCATCTCAGCTTATTCTCTTGGGTCTCCAGGCTGTGCGCAGAGCCTCCCCAGGGCCAAACCCTGAGCCAGAGACACTATGGGCTGTTAAATCTTTTTAATAAATTTCAGAAGAAAAATTATCCTTGCTCATTAAAAAAAAGAAAAGAAATCAAAAGGTTTATAAAATCTGATTTAAAAAAAAAGGAGAGAAGCCCAATATTCTATGCTTAAAACTTTTCTTATGAAACATCATCTACTCAGGAAAATTCGAGTTATATATTAATTTACAAAGAATAATAACAAGCCTAACAGCTTAGGAACTTGCCAAAGCAGGAGCACTTAGGGGGATCTGCCTCAGCCCTCCCGACTCCCGCCAGCAAGCTCCAGCCTCTCCCAGAATCTCGTTTCTGTCTTGCTCCTTGTTTTGCTCCGGGTTTGGCAAGCGGGAATGTGTCCCTAAATGAGACAATGCCTGGTTTGCTGGTTTTCTAGGTTTATGAGGAATGCATCTTTGATCCTCCTGCCACCTGCGATTCTGAATTCAGCACTGGGTTGTTCTCGCCGGGGTTGGTGCAGGTGGCCATGGTGGCTCACCCTCTCCTGGGCCCGGTGTGAATACTCTTCGCCTGGTCTCTGTTCTCCTGTGGCTGGCCCTCGGGTGGCATCCAGCTGCTGGCCATTTCCACTGGGGCTACTCTGAGCCTCTGCAGGTGGCCTCCTGGGGCCCATGTGCAGGACTTCCGCTAGGAAACTTGGGGATGGAATCGCTGGTGGACAGGGACTGGTGTTCTTTCCACTTCTCTGGCTAAGAAAGGTCCAATTGCCCCGAAATGGGCCTTGGTGTTGCCCTACTAAGTGCTCAGGGAAGGGTACAGCCCTCTCTGCATCCCCCAGACTCAGCAGAAACCCCGACACCCCTCACTGAGAGCCAGATCAGCAATGTTCCAGGTGATGCTACTTGGGTCACAGGATCACGTCTCTCTGGCTCGGGTGTGTTTCCGTCAGTGCCTGGGCCAGTTGAGGCCCTGCTCACAGCCTTGCACTTACCTCATTCTCTCCTCTGGAGCCACACTGTGTGTGCAGATGGAGGCTTGGAAGGTGCAGGGTCCCACCCGAGTCACACGTGCCAGCATCAGATCTAGGAGGCCTGGCCCCATCTCCCCACCCACCATGATCCCACCCCTCCAAGAGGAAGAGCCGAACCCTTGCCAAGCCTAAATGGGTCAGCATTGTCCCACGAGCAAGAAAAAGAAGCAGAACCCGACTGAATGGAAACGACATGGGGACTCACAGGCAGGCAAAATTAAATGCAGAGCCCATGGGCAGGGACCGACCAGGGCCCACCAGGGGCAGGGGGCAAATGCTACCCTTCCTTCCCCCTCGATGCCTCCTTACGTGCAGCTCCTGAGGGCTTCCTCCGCGGGGCCTGCATGCAGCTCTCACCGCACCAAGAAGCAGGTCTATCTGCCAGTTCCTGTTTAAGAAGCAAACCCCAAACCCCGGAGCCTGCCAGGCCCAGGGCCAGATCTGACCAGCTCATCCTGGCTTCCTATTTCTGATGGCCTGACTGTTGTGTTACCCCTAAAACCCACTGTGACGTTAAGGGGTGGGCCTTTGAGATCTGATTAGGTTTAAATGACGTGACAAGGCTGAGGCCCCCGTGATGACATCAGTGCTCTTCTAAGAAGAAAAGGGACAGCAGAGTCTATGCTCCGGGCAGTCACAACAGGGAGGAGGCTTCTGTAGGGTGGCACAGCCCTCCGCAGGACCAGTGTGTAGTGGCCCTGATCCTGGGCCTCCAGCCTCCGAACTAGGAGACTAAGTCCCTGCGCTCTAGGCCACCCAGTCTCTGGAGTTTCCACGGCAGCTAAGCTGACCAGAGCTAGGATTGCCTGGGGGTGGCTGGGGAGGCTGGGTCCTGGGCCTGGTGCAGGCAGGGTCCTAAGGCCCAGCCCAGAGCCACAGAGGCTGTATTAGTTCCTAGGAAAGGGAGGCACAGATGCCCAGGGTCAGAGGGGAGGGCGGGAGTGACCGTGAGCAGGCAGCCCATCCAAGTTTCAAAGACAGTTAGGCCCCTCTGTGCCCAGAATGAAAATAGCCACAGAGGCCGTCTCCAAATCCGTGATGGCACAGGGTGGCGCTTCCTTCTGCAGCCGGGCCTTGGGCTTTTCCGGGGATCCCACTGGACTGCGGGAAATTCCCATCTGAATACCACTCTTCCCAGCATTCAGGGAAAAGCAGGTTCCACCTGGTAGCTCTAACCCACAACCGCTCTTTCTGTGCCGCTGAGCCCTGATGATTCTGACACCAGCATAAGGATGGTGGATGCTGGGCTCAGAGAGGCACAGGAGGGGCCTCCAGGCCTGCCGACCATGCCACCATGACTCGGCCCCCTCCCCAGGAACCAGGGAGCCAGGTCCTCACCCTTCAAGGTTCAGAGGACGGGAAGGGAACGCAAAGTGGGATGTGGGATGATCTGCTAACAGAGAGCCCTGCTGCCCTGGCCTGGCCTGACCCCCCTGGCCTCACTCTCTCTTCCAGACCCCTAATCCCCACCCAGCCGGGGACTCTAGACACCTCCGTGGACCCTGGCAAAGCCCGGTGTGTCCTCAGTGAATCCAGGTCAGACAGCGGTCAAGCCAGCAACCCGGAGAGCCAAGCCGATGGAAATCTGGACAGGAGAACAAAGCCAACCTGTTGACCAAGGAAACCCAATCGGATTAAGCCCGGAGCACCCGTGGCCAGGACGGGTCTTGTGACAGAGAAGAAAGGGCGCTTTCACGGGCCCGCCTGGCCCACAGGCACCACAGGCCCTGCCCCCTCTCCAGAGAGGCCCCACCGGATCTGCTGGCCCCTCACCAAGTCCGGGGTGGACCCGGGAAGGAGCCCCTTCCCGGGTCTCAGAAGAGATGGGATCCGGGAGGACCGTCTGGATAAGCAGTAGCCAATGAACGCCTTCAAGGTCAAGGCTCTGGGGATGTTTTAAAAGCCAGAGCGTGTTTGTCCTGGAAATTGGCTCACGGACAGATTAAATTTGGAGTAACTGGGGCAGATACGCAGGGAAGCATCTTTCCTTAATGAGCCGGTCTCTGTTCAACTGCTTCATCATTTACTGGGCCAAGAAACCTGGAGGTGACTCCAAAAGTCACGATGGCTAAGACAATGACGGATCGAGCCCTGTGCGGCAGTTCAGGGCTGGGCTCTGGTGACCTGGGCTCTCTGCTTGTGAACTTGTCCTGATGGGCAAGAGGGGGCTGCAGCAGCTGCCAGGGTCACCCCCGTGGGGGGTACCAGCCCACTGCCCAGGAGCAGTTTCACTTTGACATTTCTTTGTCCCCCATCCCAGGATGGCAAAGCTGAGTGGTGGGTCCTCAGACCCGGGCATCTCCTCCCTCCCAGTTCCAGGAGCCCCTAGCCTCCGTCATGCCCCCCACTCTGCTTCTCCAGGAGCAGCTGCTGAGAGATGTGCCCTCTGAGAAACCCCAGGACCAGTGTGCTCATGAAGCCCAAATGGTGGGCGCCTCCACAGAGCTCCCCACAGTCCCCTGGGGAAGCATCCTTCAATCAAGAAACCCCACAAGCTGCCATAAAATAAAAAGTGAAGAAAACTGGGTTTGGAGTAGGGGTGCACAGATGGAGCACTCCCACAGCAGGGCCATTACTCTGAGTGACCCGCCAGCCACGTCGCCAAAACCCACCAACTGTACAACACCATGGTGAGCAGAGGACAAGCCACAGACTGGGTTCCTAACACTGGGTGGGCACGGGCTCACCTATTTGATATACATGCCACACTGACCAAAGAGGTAAGTGATGGGCAGGGGCTGCAGCATCCCGTCCCAAGACAGTCAGACGCGACCCCTGGACTTCACCGTGCTGTGAAACCATGCACGTTTCACAGAGGTCACAGTTCAGGATCGAAGGAGGATCCTCCCCAGGGCAGGTGATGGTGGCCCCATGCTCTGTCACCACAGGCAGTGGTGGCCACAGTCAGCAATCACGAGGGCAGCGAGCTGCTCTGCACTGCATGCCGTGTGCCAGCCCAGGTGAGGTGTGCGTGAAGTGCACTCCACTCGGGGCACTTCAAGTTCAGGCTTGGTCACCGGGTCGCAGCCGTCTCCACCGGGACCCAGGCTGGGATGCTCTGCGGTTTTTTTGCACCATTTTTCTATAAACATCTCTAAAAAATGAAATCTATTTTAGAAAGATGAATAAAACTATGAGAACCCATATTCAGGAGCCTGGTCTATACTTGGCTGTCCCCAAAGATGCCACTTGAAACCATCCTCTGGCTGACCAGTGTTGGACATGGCTGTGGAGGCCACTCACGGCCTCACCTCTGCAGGCAGCGCCTGTCATGGCCCAGCCCTGACCACCTGTTACCCTGGTGATGGGTGCAGAGAGAGACAGAAGGGAAGCAGAAGGACGTGGGCACTTGGAAACGAGAGAGCCGGCGTACTAATAATAAGATTCATACTTTTGAAAAAGAGAGCCGTCCCTCATTTCATGATGCAAATGGTAGGAAAGCAGGACGCGGCGTTCTTAGTGGTGGATGGACCTGAAAGGCTTGTCACGTGGCCGGGCGTGGAGAGTGGAGAGTGGAGCCTTCACGGCAGAAGAAGAGGCGTTTATGTTCAGCCGTACACAGGTCGGGGGCTTGAGAACACCGCCAGTCACGTGAACTCGTCCCCTTGCAGTGAGCGAGAGGACACATCCCTGCTTTCTACAAGGTCAACGGAGGCCACCAAGCCATGTCATGCCAAGTCACTCACTAATGACGTTGCAGGGCAGAGCGTGAACCCCCACAAGAGACACGAGCAATGGCATTATTGCTCACACTGGCACACAGGGGGCTCTGTGGCCACCAGAGACCTTCCCTGGGAGATGGGGACTCCAGGCAGAGTCAGCTTTCCTTTATTGTGAAAAATTCCTGAGATAATCCACTTAAAAGCGTCACAGCACACACTGTGCTTGAGGCCGGGGGGGCCTCCGAACCAGCACCAAAGGCTAGGAGGGAAGGGGAGGCAGGCCCAGGAGGAGACCACCGCAGCCCAGGACTTTCTCAGGGTCTCACAGCTCTGAGGGGCCCAAATGAGACTTGGATCTGAGACCTCGAGTCCCTTGTTTCCCTCTATGCCCTGTGCTCCAAGCTGCATGGCACAGCAGGCTTTGACTTCTCTATGTCAGCAAGCCGGGCGGGCTGAGGGTGGTCCTGCTAGCTACTTTGAGCCACAGGATATAGACATTCACCACCAACAAACAAATGTATGTCTGTGGGTGTGCAGTATAGAGACACAGACAGAGACGCAGATAAAGGCGGACTCAGCAACTTATCAAGTCCTGAAGCAACCCAGTGAGACCCTGACCCTAATAAAATATAAAATGGGCTGGGGATGTGGCTCAGTGGTTAAGTGCCCCTAGGTTCAACCTCCAGTACC